CTCAGGGCTTTACCGGGGCATCCCCAACCAGTGAGGGCCCAACTCCACAGAAAAAAACGGGGAGCCGGCCGAGGCCTGCATCCCAAGCCCCGGAAACTGAGGCCAGGGCAGGCAACAATGAAAGACGACATCGCTGTGGTGTGAGTTGTCCGGAGGATCATCGAACCTGAAATGAACGAACGGAGGAAACTTGAAAAGACAGATCTCGAAACCCCAGCTGGCACAAGGATCCCAAATGGCACAAGGTCACAAAAAATCCACCCATCCGAACCAGGCACACCATCTCATAGCCGATGCTAGAAGCGACGTAGAAGACCAACCATAGCAGAGCTATAGGTTGATGGTACAGCTGTGGCAGCGCGAATGGCAAGGAGAGCAGGAACCTCAGTGCATCCCCTCCGCTGACTGACTGACTGACTGACTGACTGACTGGCTGACTGGCTGGCTGGCTGCTGGCTGGCTGGCTGGCTGGCTGACTCACTGACTGATTGTGCTCGCCTGCCTGGCTGACTGCCTGCCTGCCTGGTGGAACCCTCTCGCGGCTGAGGACCCCCTCAGCCCCGGGCAGCATGAAGATCTGACAGGCTGTGTGGCCTTGCAAGGTGCAGTCCAGCTTGGAGGCCTGGGTGAACTTGAGTCGAAATCTTGTACCAAACTGGCCTGTCCCTTTACCTTCACCCACCCGGGTTTTCATTGTGGCACATATACCAGGGACTCTTAAAGGATACATCCAAAATTTACCTGCTTTACAAGGATTCGGATGGGCATCATCTGGTATGTAGGTGATTTGTGCACTGGCCCCGGCATCCAATTTTACAGGGAACGGCCACTATTTAGGGGTTCCCCTATGCAGAGGGAAGGACAAATAAATGGTTGAGCGGTGGAAACACGCCCGAAGAGTACAGGGTGCAAAATTCTTACCAGTGTAGGAAGCGTGGAAACGGGTTTGTCCCCGCTGAGTAGTTTCTCTCTGGCTTCCATTCAAAACCAACCAACTGCAAAAAAAAAAAAAAACGCCCAAAAGCCGGACCCCTGGAAACTCGTTCACTACCAAAGCGGGCCATGTTTAGAGTTGGCCCCCCCCCCGCCCCCCCGCCCCCCCCCCCGGTTTCACAGGACCCCCCCCCAACTTGGCCGCAAAACGACCAGGCCGAAGGCCTGGGGCCCTTGAGGCGCCGGGCGGGGACCTGCAAGATCGCGGGGCAGGCCGCCACCGTCTCCTCCAGCTCCAGGCAGGAGGGGCACAGCGGCGGCACGGAGGTCAGAATGAAAGCGCCCCCGAAGAAGACCATGAGACCTCGGTTGCTTTCCGCTCCCCTAAAAGTGGGTTACATTGGAAAACCCATTAGTTGGCAAAAAGTCCAAGTCCTGGCATCCAAGCAACATGCACCAAAGAGACCTTGTCCGGTCGCAAAATAAAACGGTGGGCAGAGTCAGCTCCAGTCCAAACGACCAAGTACAGCAGGGGGAAGCTGATACTTGCAAGGGACCCGGGATTTTTCTGGTTGGAAAACAGGGCAACAAGTTTAGAGGCAAGCCTCACCTGTTTGGCACGACCGATGTTCTTCGAATGCTATCTACTTCGTGGCAACGAGCCCCTACAGGGGGCCGATCACCCAATCCTCAGTCAGGGTTCTGAGCCGCTAAGGCTACTGCCTCCTCAAGTGGGCCACAAGCTGGCAAGCAGGCCAGGCCGTTCAAAAAGGGAAGCTTACCTCCCGTGATGAATGTGGTAATCAAGAAGGCCGCTGGTGGGCGAACTTAAAACCTCCCTGGGTAAGAAGCAAGACTGGCCGGCCTGGCATTGGTGGGAGCAGCTTGGATGGGGCTGGCCAACTTGCAAGGCGCCTTGCCCTGTCGACTGCAAGGTTGCAAAGCTTACCACGTTTGTGTGGGGGCATCGAGGTTCGTCCCCCTCTACTTCCATTTGCAGACGTCCCGTAGAAAAAATACGTCCAGTAGTGCTAGATTCCCTTTAAAACCAACAGGGGAAAATAAACACAGATTCATTTCAGCACATGGAAGTCTGCTTGTCTCCTAGTCTTCTTACTGGCGCGGGCTGGGCTGCTCAAGCTCAAAAAAGGGGGATGTAGCAGACACCTCTAAGGGCACCAACAAACCACTCTAAAGTAGTGATTGATTTTCCTGGGTTGTCCAAGGCAGAGCCACAGTCCTCCCGAGACAAGGGAAACCACTACCATACGCAAATGCCCCCAACAGAACCGTGTTGGAGGGAAGGCCCAAGTGGCCCACCCCCTTTTCGGGCTGCAGACTCCAGTAGTTTTCGGACGGGAGCCCCAGACCCAATTCGTCCATTGGGATGGTTGACCACTTCATCAGGTGTCTGGGGTTTCTGGGTTTCCCCCTAAGCTGATCAGTTGACTGGTGGGTTGCGCCTCACCGTTCCAGGGTCCCGGCAGTTCTCATCATTTTCCTTTCCCAGGTTCCACCCATGCCGGCTCGATCCGCTGCTCAGATCACTGGCTCGGTGGCTCTTCTTGGTAACTCGTACCCTCCCACCAGCTAACATGGAAATGCACAAGAACCCCTCTAGAAAGACTGCTTTCCTCTTGGCCATGGCCTTTCAGCACTTCCATGTTGGTGGGAGGCGCGAGTCTCGCGCTTTCTTGGCCACTGGTCGTGCGTAACACTCGCGGAACGAGTGGCCCCAGTAGCCCAGGACCAGCTGGAGCGCCAAGTCCCGGCGCACCGGCGGCCGCAGCCAAGTCAGCGCCATGGCGCCCCCCAAGGCCAGCAGCAGGCCTCGAGCCGAGCGACGACAAGGCCAGCGGGGAAGTTTTTGCGGTGGAGCCAAGCTGCAAATTAACCCAACCCTCCCACCCACCCACCCACCCCAAAAAAAAAGGAGGAGAAGGTCCTCAAATGAGAGTTGCATCTTGCTTGTTGCTTTCTTTCGTTTTTGGGGGGATATGGCAAGTTTTAAGCAAGCGGGAAGCGGACAAGAGCCCGGCAACCGGCAAAACTGAACCCAAGCAACCAAAAAAGAGTAAACCTCCCCCCTCCAGAAAAAGAAGACACCCTTCAAATGTTGTTTGATGCTTGCTTCCGTTTTGGGGGGTCCGAGTCGGAGGTCCAAGGGGGCCTTTTCGGATGGGCAAGACAAAGGACAGCCATGCGGGTCTCTAGGCTTGATCAAGCTTCGGAACCCCTTTCACGCCCTCGGAGAGGGATTCCAAGAAGCCTCTAAGAAGGGAATGTGCGATTTTGTTTTGCTGCTGTTTCGCTGCGGCACTTGTGACTTGGGTTTGCCTCACAATTGGGAAACCCCTAAAATCACCCCAAAAGCGGTACCACCAAAAAAAGACGCCCCCACGGACTTTTGTCAAATAGGCCTTTATGACAAACAAACAAAGGGCCTGAAACAGGGGAAAGGTGCGCGGTGATTGGTCTCGTGTTGCAAGAAATTCCCAACCTGCCCTGCAAATGAACGCTAAAAGGAGATGTCCTTGAAATGTGGTGGAGAGTTTGTTTTGTTGGTGTTTCCAATCCGGAAGATGTCCTTGTTTTGTTTGGTGGAGGAGTTCCGCGTGAAATTTGCAGGCGCTGACCTGGCGGCATGTTGCACCTCAGTTCCCCTGCTGGCAAAAGTGCAACCAAGAAAACGTCCCCGTCTGCACGCGCTCGACACATGCGGCATCAAACCACCCAATAACATCACTTGAAATGGGCCTTGCCACCCCCCGCCAAAAAAAAAAAAAAAAGAAACGGAACCACCAGGAATTCAAGCGGAACCTGCCGCGGCGGGTAGTTCAAGTCCTCGCCTTCGAGGAAAAAAACCGCCCGCGGGATCCCCCCACTTTCAGCTTCCCCCTTGGCGGTTTGGCGCCCGGTGGTTTGGGACGTCGTCAAAAGGAGCGGCTCAAATCCCCCAAACCTCGCATCAAAACCACCAATCGAGTCGTCAGTCCCTGACGCTTGCGTGCCAAGCGTCCTGCTGCAAAGACGATGTCGTAGATCCAGTTATTCGCCCGATGCATTTGGGGGCAGGCGAGGAGCTCCGAAAACTCGGCGGATCGACGTATCCATCAAAGAGTCAAGCTGCTCTGGTGAAAGCAAAAGCGCGGCACCCATTTTCCTAACCTTCACCAAAAAGAGAATGGAAGTATTTAAAAGGATCTCCAGTCGACATCCCCAACAAAAAATAGTGGATCGGACTCTTGCAGGTAGAGCCAAGGCGCGAACACCAAGCGGTGCAGGCACAGGCCAACTGACATGCCAGCCATCAGCGCAGCACCCCGCTGCATGTTCTTGGGCAAGCTGTCCTGCACCCACGCCTGCGAGGAGCCAGGTTGCTGACCAACACCGTCGAAAGCAAACGCCGCTCGACTTCTTGAACGCGTGAACCCAAAATGGGTCTCAAGCATATTCGTCTTATAGAGGGTCCCTCCAAAATAGTGGTTCGTGTCCGGATCTGGTTGCCAAAAAACGGGTGCACTCCAAAAAACCATCGCCCGAAAAGTTGGATCCGCCGGAAAATCGAAAGCTGGCTTCTCCTCCAGGCTGAGCACCCTGAGCACAAAACCAAGCAACGACACACCCTAAAAAGGAATCCCAGTGCCAGACTTTTACGAATCAGAAATAACCAAAGACAGACTACCCCAAAAAAAACAAAACAAAAAAAAATAAAAATAAAAAATTAAAAAAAAAAAAAAAAAAAAAAAAAAAAAAAAAAAAAAAAAAAAAAAAAAAAAAAAAAAAAAAAAAACAGGCGCCCCTCAAAAAACAAGGACACCCCTGGGCTCCCGAACCAAACCGAAGCGACCCGGCCTTCTCGGTCTCCTCGTCGTCGAAGCGCAGCACCATGCCGCCGCAGCCGCCCACCTCGCGCCTTCCCCTGGGCAAAGGAGCGGGGCCCCGAAACGGGGGGACAAACCTCCAGAAGAGCTCGGGGTCTTCCCCATGGGAAAAACCCAAAAGCCGGGGGGGGGGGGTTTGGGGGTTGGGGGGGTTGGGGGGTTGGGGGGGGTTGGGGGGGGGTTGAGGGGGGTTTTGGGGGAGGTTTTGGGGGGGTTTGGGGGGAAAGTTTTGGGGGATATCCCAGGGTTTGGGGTGCTGCTGGAAGTGATTCCTCGGCTTGTTTTCTGCTCCCCTGCTGAAAGTTTGACTTTGAGTCGTTCAATGGAAAACCCATTAGTTCATTAGTTGGCGAAAAGTTAAACTCCTGACATCCAAGCAAAATGCAGCGAAGGGGAGGGTGGCTCAAAAACCACGGCAAACACCAGGTGGGAGGTTGCACAACCACCCAAAAGTCGGTGTTGCTTTTTCTTTGGTGCAAAAGAATCCGAGCGTTCAAAACAAACAAAGGCGTCAGAACCATCTTGATTCCCTTCAACAACACCGACAGGGAATCGAACATGCCAATTTCGTCGAATGGAAGTTGAGGGTTCTCAAAACTACATGTGGCAGCTCCCTTCAAATCAACAGTTGGACTTTTGAGGCAAACTCAACGGATGTAAATCAGCTATACCGGTGCCTTTTGTGGCCATGCTGTCCCACGCCAGGTGCGGTTTTTAGGGTCCGGACACTCCACGCCCACCAGCGCGCCCAAGGGCCCGCGACGCCAAAAACAGCTCTCCGAGACGCTCCAGGAGCTTCTCGAACCACCGCTTCTTCAGGGATTTCTTCACCAGCCCTGGCAAGATCTCGTCTCAGAGAAAGCCCAAGGGAGAGCGAATGAGGCTTAAGTGAGGCAAGGCCTTCGTGTCTTTTTGGGGCGGGGTAACTCACGCAGTCCATCGAAAAAAGGCGGCAGGAGAAAAAAAAACATGGCAACTCACCCAGGCCATCCAAGAACTGATTCGGATGAGAAACTAGTCCAACTCCCCACCCTGAAAGGCTTCCGGATCTTTGGGGCGAGAACCTTCGTTTAGTCCCCGTGCATTTGGGTCGCAAACCAACTCGTTTCTTGGGGGCTGCAACTGCACTTGCCCGGATTGAACCTATGATCCCCACCCCCTCTAGGGCCTCCCTCGGCTTGCGCCGCATTCGCGGGCTTGCTTTCAGCCTCCTCCTCCGAGAGCTCTGAGCCATCCTCGGAGGGCTCGGGCGCTTCCTCCTGGACAAGCAGATCAACTAAACCCTATTACCGGCTTTCATTTGCTTGTTCCAGGTAGGCATAAACCCATTACATTACATACATACATTACATACCATACATTACATTACATTACATTACATTACATTACATTACATACATACATACATACATACATACATACATGCATACATACATACATTACATACATTACATTACATTACATTACATTACATTACATTACATTACATTACATTACATTACATTACATTACATTACATACATACATACATTACATACATTACATACTTTACATTTATCTTTACATACATTACCATTTACATTACATTACATTTACATTAATTACATTACATTTACAGTTACATTACCATTACATTACTACATGTAATTACTATTACATACATACATACATACAGTACATTACATACATACATACATACATACATGCATTACATTACATTACATTACATTACATTACATTACAGTACATTACATTACATTACATACATACATGCATTACATACATACATTACACACATACATACATACATACATACATACATACATACATACATACATACATACATTACATACATACATACATACATACATACATACATACATACATACATACAATTACATACATTACATACATTACATACATTACATACATTACATACATACATACATACATACATACATACATACATACATACATACATACATACATACATACATACATACATACATACATACATACATACATACATACATACATACATACATACATACATACATACATACATTACATAAATTACATACATTACATACATTACATACATACATACATACATACATACATACATACATACATACATACATACATACATACATACATACATACATACATACATACATACATTAATACATACATACATACATACATACATACATACATACATACATACATACATACATACATACATACATACATACATACATACATTACATTACATTACATTACATTACATTACATTACATTACATTACATTACATTACATTACATTTACATTACATTTACATTACATTTACATTACATTACATTACATTACATTACATTACATTACATTACATTACATTACATTACATTACATTACATTAATTTACATTACATACATACATACATACATACATACATACATACATACATACATACATTACATACATACATACATACATACATACATACATACATACATACATACATAACATACATAAATACTTACATACATACATACATACATACATACATACATACATACATACATACATACATACATACATACATACATACATACATACATACATACATACATACATACATACATACATACATACATACATACATACATACATTAATTACATTACATTACATTACATTACATTACATTACATTACATTACATTACATTACATTACATTACATTACATTACATTACATTAATACATACATACATACATACATACATACATACATTACATTACATTACATTACATTACATTACATTACATTACATTACATTACATTACACACATACATACATACATACATACATGCATACAGTGTATGTAAGCTAACCAAACGGCACAAGCAAGCGATAACTCTTTTATCCAAGCAATGTGTTGGTGCCAGGGACTCATCTTCCCCTGTCAGATGTCTACGGCTGGGTGGGCCCCATGGGCCACCCACCACAAACTCTCAAAAACTGAAGAACGGGTGTGCAGACTGATAGCGCCCGCCCCTGGGCCGGGGGGGCACCCAGGCCACAGGGGGGTCTGCCACCAGGGGAAGTGAGTCACCCACCGGCTCCGGTCACGGGAGCATGGGTGGGCCCACGCTAAGATCAAATGCATCTCCATTCAGGAGACGCGGGAGAAAAATGAACTCCTCGCAGAGTTCCTGTTTAGCCTGTTTAGGGACTCTGTGCAAAGGGTCGAACCCAGAGAAATCTGGGTGCGTCAGCTCATCGGCCCACTGGTTGAATTCCCGGGGCACGTGGTTGGCCGCCAGCGAGCAGCCATGGGTGTGGAGCAGGAAGACCAGCTCCATCAGGATAGCCGCGGTGTAGGGCTTCTTGGATCCAAGGTTGAGCATCGCCATGACGTTGCCCTGATTGTCACTGCCCACCGGGAGTCGGACCCGGGAGGACAGAGGGCCTTGGTGCGTGAGGATCATGTTACAGGGGAAGAGCGTGCCCAGCATTTCCAGAGCCGCAATCCTCCGCTTGGGATCCCCATTCTTGAATGCCCACGGGTACTCCTCCACGTGGATCTGCTCGTGGAACCAGTACACCTCCTTCTTCTCCGGCTCCACTTTGTTGGAGCACCAGCCTCCCACAAATGCCAGTCCTTCATCCGAGGCGCTAGCATCGCTGCAACCCCACCAAGAGGACTTCGGCAAGTAAGGGGAGTACTGGACGAAGGGCGTGTTGAAGAGGAACCGCAGCATGAACGCCAGCATCCTGACCACCTTAGGGGGTTTCCCCACCGTGGTGGTGGCCATCTTCCAGGCCCACAGTGGCTGAAGCATCGACTTCGCCAGCGGACATGCAGCAGTTGCCCATTGGATGCGGCCCAGGGCCTTCTCGATGTCCTTTGAGTGCATCGCCTGCCCTTCCACCATGATCTGCAAGACCTCCATCACCAGGATGTGTTTGTTGGCGGCCATGAGAACCTGCGGGATGTTCGGGTGGACCACGAAGCCCAGCCACGTGTTGACCTCCGCCAAATGTGTCTTCTTCCAGCTAAGCGGGGTGCCCAAGGCCAGGAGTGTTGCCAACAGCGCCACCGCCAAGTTCACTGCCCCCTTGCTGCGAAGCAGCCACAGGAAGTCATCCACAAAGACGAAGTTCCAATCCACTTGAGGGAAAAGTGCGTAGAGGACCCTGAGTAGAAGGGCTGCCAGGCGTCCCCAGTAGGATTGGGCACTGGCCATGCCGTATGTGCCTACCTTGTTCACCCACCATTCTTCCCCCAGTGAGGCCACCTGGAACCGCCAGTCCTTCCTGAGGACCTTCACTCTCCGGTGGGCCTTGGTGACGTCCGCCTTGAGCAGCACCCACCTGGCCAGCCCTCGGGTGGAGGTTTAGCGACCTCCTTCTCGGGGCCGGGGGCACCCTGAGAGGGAGGTCCCTCCTCAGCTGCCGCATGTAGCCAATGAAGAGCTTGTACCCCATCCAGCACCGTCGGAGCCGTCGTCCTTTCCACCGTCTGGTTCCTGATGGTGTCATTGGCCCCGCCCACCGAGCCATCGTAGATGGTGCGGATCTTGTCCCCTTCGTCGATGCCCGCTAGGGGGCCTGGGCAAAGATCCTCCATATTGCAGCCACAGCGCGCTGCTGCCTCTACCTTGGTGAGAGGGCCATCTACCATGCCCATGGGGACCTCCTCCAGGAATGTGCTACGGATGAGCTCACTGAAGTGATCCGCTGAGGGGTAGTTACACGGGCCGGTGGGATGGAGTTCCTGCAACTCCGGCTCCTCCCCTTTTAGCTCCTTCTTGAGTGGCCAGATGCCCGGCGAGGCTAGGGGTGGGTCCGTGACCCCCAGTGGGACCCCTTGTTCCAGATCCCGAGGATGTTCAGCGCCAGGCTGTGTCCAGGAAGAAGGGTTGGCCTTCCGCTTTTCGGCCTTCCCCTGACTCCAGGATCTCCCTGATATCTTCCAGCAGGTCCTCCGGGAAGGGTGTGACCCGTCCCCCAACGAGAGCGACTCCTGGAGTTTGTCCCCCCATGGCGACGTGAGGACACAGATCTTGGCCCCCATCGCTGCTGCTTTGGACAATGGCCGAGTCCACGGGGCCAGCCGTCCAAGTGAGGGCTTCCCACCCCCGTCCCTGAGGGGGCGCTGTTTGAAGGCCATCTGGAGGTACATAACCTTGTCGGAGAGATTTGGGTCGTGCGTGATCGGCAGGGTGGTGGGCCGATCCGAGATCTCCATGCAATGGCGTGCCCATGGCTGAAGGGGAAGAGTTTCACCCCGTAGTTCGACCTCCCTGCCCGCCGGCTGTGTTGGTGTCCGGACCTCAGGATTGTTTGAGGCCGAGACCGGACGTGAGCCCAAGGTTAGTCCCGCCAACGCTTGTTGGCCGGCCTTCAGCCTCAGGGACTGGCGCTTGTTGTCCCCCGGCGTGCGGGGAGATGGTTCCCTCTGCCGCCTCGAAAGGTCGTTGGGTTCACTTGGGGCACCGTGCCCCCCGGCCTCAGCGCCTCCAGGACGGCCCGCTCTGCAGAGGATGGCCGCTGCGAGACCTTGCATCATCTGCTCTGGGTACCGGCTGAGGTCACTGGAGTTGAGCTTTTCCCCCCTGTGGTTGCATCGCAGATCATGCCAATGGTGAAGGGGAAGGTCCGTTGACAATGTCGTGGACTTCACTACCACCTGGCCCAGGCGGCACTCGTCAAACTTGATGAGGGAGTGGTGGAGTGCGTTCGCCCATTGAATGTAGGCCCGTGTGACCCAGATCGATGAGCACCTCGCTGCGCTCGGGCTCCTAGGAAGGAGGAGCCCACCTGCGGGACCGTTCGTTGACCTTGTCCTTGGTAGGCCAGCGAGGTCAGGTACATCACGCTGTCGTTGTCCGTGTCCTCCCTTACCCGGGGCTCCAGGTCCTCCAAGCCCCACAGGGTCTGCTACGCCCTGCCCCTCACCGGCGGCGGGCCTCCCGGTTTGGGGAACCATCTGAGAATGCTCTACGTTCTGCAGTTGGGGCCGCCCCCCACAAAGGCGACCTTACCCGCCATGGCCATGGAGCACATTGTAGAGTATGGCTCGTCTCCCAGCATGTCCTGACCCTTTCACCTAGAGAAGGCCGGGTTGTAGGCATGGAGGTAGGCATCCAGGGCCCCCGCGTCGTCCTTCCCAGCGTACAGCAGGATAGTCTGGACCTCAGTCTTTCCGGGGTGTCTTGCATCCAGGGGAAGGTGGGGCTTGTCCCCCCTG